ACGCGGTTTTTTCACCGTATCCGGTTCTCATCTCCTAAAACCCTACGTACTGTCCTACATGTTCCCGCCGTGCAGCTTTTTGCAACTGCAAGTATATTTTGGATGGAGCTGTAGCTTTTCCAGACTCTTGTGTAGTTTCCTTGGTATCTCTCCAGTAGCTCCTATGATAACTGGTATTACAGACACATTGCCCATTTCCCACATGCGTTTTATTTCGTCGGAGAGTGGTAAATACTTTTTGATCTTTTCCGCATGGGTGGTTTGGATATTACTAGGAAGAGGCACAGCTATGTCTATTAAACGTCGTTCTTTCTTCTTTTAGTGTGAGCACTATGTCAGGAATATTGTTGGGGATGGGCCTGTCAGTTATGATTTTACGGTTCCAGTACAGCCTAGAGGTCTCCGTTTCTATCACAGGTGGCGGCGTGTATTTATAGTAGGGCTGTGTACCAGTTTCTCCTAGATGCTTTTTAGCCAAAGCTTGATAAAGTATTTTAGCCACATCATTGCGTCTTTCAAGATATTGTTTACGAGCTAAGGGAGAGCAGACTGCTACAATATGATCTATGTGCTCATCTTTTTTCCCACATATGCGGCATCTGATATCTTCAACGTTCTCATGCATTATACGCTTTCGGTATAACTTTGTTGGGACTACCTGATCCTGGATGGAGGCTATGAAGCCCTCCGTCTCCAGGAACAGATTACCTGACTGCAACCATCCTTGGGAAGCCTTCGTGTCAATGGCGTTGTATTCTATGCGGCTCCTATACCGACCATTTAGTGGTTTGGCTGTCCATTGGCGAACCAGATCCTGCATTGGGATTATCTTTGCCTCAGGGTTGAAAGATGTTTCTGAAAGGTTTAGTGGTGACAACTTTTTATCCGTCTGTGTTATTGCTTGATGCATTCTGCTCGATGTGGCTTTTTGGAGGAAGTACTGGCCTAGATTGTCCACTTGGCGGTAATGTAGTGTAGGTATGCAAGGTATTCCTCTGCCACCCTCACTTCGTGGTAGATGGAACCGCTCTATGGAACTATGTGGGTGGTGTAAAGTAATAGAGGATAAACAAGAGCATAATATAGATTATAGATATTTCTTATCTAGAATATCTCTGAAGTACCTGAATTTTGGAATAATACATCTCAGTCTCTTCACAAGGTACTCTGTATGGGTATCCCATTTTAAGTGTTTGTCCAAAATCACGCCTAAGTATTTTATTTATCGGCTGACTGAATCTCTTTGAGACCACTGCTTGTATGAATTTCAAGTTTTTTAAATCGCGGTGAGAGCCTGTCGTTACAAGAAAATGCTATATAGTGTGTTTTGTTGTAATTAATTGTCAAAGTTCTTTCCGAAAAGAAATTTATAAATGTTTTGAAATCATGTTCGATTGTGGTTTTTAGTGTATGCCACTGGTTGCTTTCATAGAGAATAGCTGTATCATCCGCAAAACCGATAACTTTACCTCTAATAAAAAATGATGTAATACTCACAGGACAAATAAATAGGGGTGAATTACCCCTAAAATAAAATAATGCATGTCGCTAAACGGAATATAGAAATAGAAGATATGGGTAATAGGAAGACGTTAGCAATAGGAAAACAAAAGCATAAATCAGGGACAAAGATACGGAAGGAAATTACTCCTAAAAATAAAAAATATGAATAAAAGGTAGAAATATTGAAAGGAAGTATGTACGCAAGGAAAGGTATAGGTGATGTCAGAAGGATGAATATGGATTATGAGCATGAAATCCTTTATGGTGATCTCTTAAAGCTAAGGACTTCCAGTATACAAAGAAAAAAAACCTGATATTACAGTTTTTATTTGACATGATGGTTGGGGATGGATTGTGATATATTGTGTGTGTGTTCAAGTTGTGCCACCACGCGAAACCGTTGACTCTTCGCTGAACGGGCACCCGCAAACGATGGCTAGTACTTCGGGGAATGATGAGTTATCCATCGAAATTGTTAGCATGGGCTCGCAAACCATGCTTAACAATTACATCGCCCAAAGTCAACAGAACTCCTCAAATGAGATCGATATTGAGGCAGTGTTAGCATCCATCAATCCGGACATTGATATGTCTACAACGATGAATGCTTGGCCATCGTTTGAGATCAATTTGTTGGAAGCTCAGCCAAGGCCATCCATGTCGGGAGCTACCTCAAACAGCAAGAGCCATCTGTGTCTGCCGCGATTGCGAGTGATATTGCGACACCTACATCGAAGACTTGCCGTTCACGCAACTTGAACGGGACGCGACAGAACGTTGTGTGGTGAATGAGCAACTCAATCGTGACACCTACATCGAAGAGTTGCCGTTCACGCAACTTGAACGGGACGCGACAGAACGTAGTGTTGTGAATCAACAACTCAATCGCGACACGTGGATCGAAGAGTTGGCGAACTTGATATGTAGAAATGGGACAAAAAAAACGAAACCTGCAAATAGGTCAAATCAATGTACAGCAGCTAATGTTTTTTTGTGTCAGATGCCACTAGAGAACGCGAGGTGCATAAATATAATTATATATATAAATGATTTATGTGTGAGAAACACAGTAGATACGTGCACGCCTCACAACAAAATGTTCCAATGTCCAAAATGCCAAAGGACCTTCGCGGTGAGGAAAAGTTTGTTGAGACACTGTAGAGCGAGGTGCAGCCAGGATGAGGAGCCCGCATCCAAGCGTCCATGTAATGCAACCGCTCCACGCAGCACTGCAGACAAGTGGGAATGTCCTCGATGCCGGCAAAAATTCTCGGCACGAAAAGGTTTACTGCGACATGGTAGAGAGGTCTGCACAAGCGAGAAGAGTCCACCCGAACAACAACGTGTAGAAGGTAAAGTTACAAACAACTAAGCCAAATTAAATAACTTATATTTATGAACTTATTATTACAGCTAGCATCACCCAGACCACCACAGGACTCAATACCAGACGACTGGATCCTTCAACAGCCAACGTTGCAATACCGGGACCGAGTCGAATGAGTCCAACCACCAGTAACGACTCACAGACGAGTGCGGAAAGCAGAACAATTCGCTGTGATAGTTGCAACTGTGAGGTACCGAGGAATGCACATGCAGCACATCTGAAAAGCATCAAACATAAGGCACATCTATGGACACCTTTACACAATAATGTGTCAGTATGTCGAAGTGCATTTCGGGGTAGAATAGTCAGTTATCAAATAACCGCCAGTATAGACACGTTGAACGTTACTGAATATATGAATAATCTTGAACATGACTCCATAAACGTGATTGAAAATGAATTGCATAAGCAAACAACGCTCAAAATAAATATGGAACTTTTTGGTTTATATATCTTACCAGCTAAAAGCCGACGAGAGGTGAAGTCCCACAATACAAACAATGTAATCATAACACAATCATCAAATTTAAAAGCAATCTATCATGATTTGGAAAGTAAAATAGAGCAAAAATCTGAAGATTTTGCAGAAAAAGACTCAGGGTGGGTGTTAGAAAAGACTTTATATTTAGAAATTAATATTAATAAATATCCTTTGAGAGCAGCATCATATTTGCCGCTTCCAAAGGAAATTAGGAACAAAAAAGCAGTACTCAATATACGTAATAACGATGAGTACTGCTTTGCATGGTCAATTGTAGCTGGTATGGTAAAACCAAAAGGTCGATCATCACTAACAACGTCATATCTACATTTTTCGAATGTTCCGGGCTTAAACTTTGCTGGAATGACATTTCCAGTCGCTCTCAAGTCAATATCAGAATGTGAAAGCGTGAATAACATATCAAGCAACGTTTATGGATTAGAAAAGGAATTCATTGATGGGAAGCCTAAATATCAGGTGCTGGGACCGTTACACTACACCGCGCAAAAACAACATACTCATCTAAACTTATTACTTATTGATGATTCAGAAGGAAACCATCATTACTGCTTAATTACCAACTTTTCAAGACTTGTTTCAAGTCAGTTGTCGCGGAATACGAGAGTAAAGCACTTTTGTGATGGGTTTTTACAATACTTTGCCTCAAAAGAAAAATTAGAAATTCACATGCGAACCTATTGCAAATATATTTCAGTTAAGGTTCCAAAATTGGAAACGAGAGTTAATCGACTTGGAAACACGGTAATGGATAATATACTAAAATGTGAACAGCATCACAAACAATTAAGGCTACCATTTTGCGTTTATACCGACTTTGAATGCATTCTAGCTCCGATAGAAAATGACTCAAGCGATTCAGAGGATGTAAGTACCATCAGAAAGTATGAACATAAACCATCCTCATTTGCTTATTACATCAAATGCTCATTTAATGATTCACTATCCAAATTGGCCACTATATAGGGGTGAGGATGCAGCAAAAATTTTTGTTGCTCGATTAGAGGCTGATCTTAAATTAATATATTATCAATATTTAACACAAAATGTAGAAATGAAAATGACTACGTACGATAAAGCTTCGTTTAATAAAGCAGAGTCATGTTTCATTTGTGAACAACCATTCACCAATACAAATATAAAAGTTAGGGATCGCTGTCATTTCACAGGGAAATATCGTGGTGCGGCGCATAGTAAATGCAATCTCAATTATAAGACTCCGAACTATATTCCAATATTTTTCCACAATCTGAAGAACTATGATGCTCATCTATTCATAAAACACTTAGCTATGAATCAAGAACAAATTAAAGTGATTCCACAATCTTTTGAAAGATATGTGTCATTTACAAAATTAGTACCGGTAGACACGTACATTTCCCAAGAGGGAAAACAAAAAACCGTATTTTTGCAAATGAGATTTGTCGATTCATATCAGTTTCTGTCGTCAAAATTAGAAACATTGGCATCCTTTTTAAGTGCAGAGCAATGTCGGACAGTACGAAAAGTGTTTCCCGAGGACGAAAGATTCTCCTACATGAGATGTAAAGGTATATTTCCCTATACATATCTTAAAACATTTGATAAATACAATAAAACATGTTTACCATCCCAGCAAGACTTTTATGACGAAATACGTGATGAACACATTGCAGACGAGGATTATGAGCGGGCACATCATGTTTGGGAAGTAATGGGGTGTAAAAATTTGGGGGAATACTCGGACTTTCACTTGACTTCGGATGTTCTTCTTTTAACAGATATCTTTGAAAATTTTAGAGATTTGTGTTTAAAAACGTACAAGCTGGATCCAGCTCACTATTTTACAGCTCCTGGGTTGAGTTGGGATGCAATGCTACCATATACTAAAGTAGAGTTAGAGCTGCTTACAGATGTGGATATGGTACATTTTTTTAAAAAGGGGATTCGTGGAGGAGTCAGCACATGTACCTCACGGAAAGTCGAGGCGAACAATAAATGTTTACCTCATTACGATCCATCAAAGGCATCATCGTACTTAATGTACCTTGATGTGCCGAACTTATATGGATATACTATGCAGCTGTACCCACCGACGGGTCATTTTGCTTGGTTGACGCAACATGAGATGGATAGGATTCAAGAAACATTACACAAATTTCAGATACATCGGATATTGGATATGCATTAGAAGTTGATTTAACAATACCGAATGAGCTTCATGATTATTTCAATGATTTACCATTTTGTCCAGAAAATTTTAAACCACCCAACAGTCAAAGCTCAAAATTAATTCCAAATTTACACAACAAAGAGCGCTACATTATCCATTATCGTAATCTAAAACAATGTTTGAAACATGGTATTATCTTAACGAAAATTCATAGAGGTATCAAATTCACACAAGCAGCGTGGTTAAAGTCCTATATACTGTTAAACACGGTACTTAGAAATGCAGCACTGAATCCGTTTGAAAGAGATTTGTCCAAACCAATGATCAATTGTATATTTGGCAAAACGATTGAAAACATAGAGAACAGAGTCAATATCAAATTAGCGACTCAATTTGAAAAATCGAAACACAAAATAGGTGCTGAAAATTATATTAGTAAACCAACTTTTAAAGAACACAGTATATTTTCTGAAAACTTAGTAGCTATTCAAATGGAAAAAACAATGATTGATTATTGCCGTCCCACATATGTTGGATTTTGTATTTTAGATGTCTCAAAAGCGGTAATATATGACTTTTTCTATAACTTTCTGAAGCACCAATATAGTAATAAGGTGTCTTTAGCATACACGGACACTGATTCGTTAATAGTACATGTTGAAACCGATAATTTCTATGAAGACATGAAATCACACGTGCATTACTTTGACACATCCAATTATGATGCTGACAACCCACATAACATGCCTCGAACAGCGTCAGAGTTGGGTAAGATGAAAGACGAATATGGTGGCAAGGTACTGTCTGCCTTTTATGGTACAGGTCCCACAGCATACTGTATCGATGCTGTAGATCAAGTGGCTAAACGAGCTAAAGGTACATCTAAGGCGAGTGTGAAACATCAATTACATTTGTTACATTATAAAGATATTGTTGAGGAGAAACGGACATATGTGTACTGTACGATTTATGTATTTAAATCGGAGTCGCACAATATATACACAAATTATATAAGAAAAGTGACATTGACCAGTATGGATGATAAACGTTTCTTGATACCAAACTCAACAAAGACATTAGCTTGGGGTCATCAAGATATCACCTTTCATAAAATGTCGGACGGAGAGCGGTTGGAACTCTTGCTGCGCTTAATGAACGAAGCCAGTGAGTTGACTAGTGATCAGATGAAATGATCAGAAATTTGAGCTTTGTGGTGGGGACAAGAATATAAATATATGCTTCACCCACTCACCTTCTTCAGTTTTAAAGATTAGTACCAAGACATACTATTCACTGTTCATGCAATTATGTCATGTAACTGAAGAGGTGTTGAAAAAACATCTCCGACAGTTTGTGTCTCAAAATCCAGAAAAACGAGAATTTCCAGTGCTGAGTTTTGTACTGGTGGAAATTATAGTACCGACGAAGTATTCAACTGGATTGCAAATGCAGATAGTTACTACCCCCGATGTGCTTTCCAGTGTAATAACAAGAAAGAAATATCTTGACTGGGTGGTACAGGAAACGCTGCAAAGTCTAAAGGATACAGGTTGTGAGGTTTTAAGCATCAAAGAATTTGGAGACCTGCTGACGAACATGCACTCCACACCATCAGCATATGAACAATACTATTTCTGTAAGTTGTTATCTGACAGTAACTATGAAGATGTAGATAAACCACATCCTGTAGAAAATATTACTAAGAGATAAAAAACACTGTATCCCATATCGATGAAACCATATGTAAAATTGCATATCTGGCTGATTGTGCATCACTGAAGAGTCTAATCGATGTGATACAGCAGCATGATATTAAATTTGTATTTGATATAGAAAATAAGATAAGACATTATACTGTATTTAAATGGTTAAAGAAAAACGTAGCTAAAGGTAACATTGGAGATAAGTCACTAGGATGGAGTTCTGGACCATGTGGTGTGAAATGGCCATCCACCAAATTTGAAGATTATGTTGCATGTTTGAGTGTCTTATGCGGTTTATCCAAAACGCAATAATTCTTGCTGTGTTGTATGACAGAAATATATCATAAATAAATGTATCTCCATGAATGGTAGTATCATTTTCCATTGCACCTGCGCCAATTTTTGAGAGGGGAGTGTTTGTGAGTGGAGGGAGTATCGACACTGTATAAAAGTAGCTACTCAGCATCACATACCAGTCTTCTACATTTCACATAGTGTTACAACATGAGTAGTGCCGGTGGTGTCAAACACGTTGCAAATGTGCAGAACGACAAAGGGGTATGATCTGTACAAAGTGGTGTAGCTCAGCCACCGTTAATTGTCATCCAGGAGCAACGCTATCATCTAAATCCATCTAAATCAAAATGGATTACTATTGGGCGAGCATATCAGTGGAGCTTCCAACCTGTACTCAATATCAAGGGTTTAAAAACCGAGGGCGTTACGTTAAATGAAGAAGACTGGTATGAAGTATCGAGTCAAGAAGGCATTATAACCAATTTTTTCTTCAATGATGATATTTTCCATCCGATCCAAGGTAACTCCTTCTGTATCAGCTTTGATAGATTTCCAGATTATCAAACCATCAAAATTGCAGATCGGTGGAGTAATGTAGTTTATTTGGGTAAAGAGACCGTATTGAAGTTATTTCAATTAGCCCCGCTGATTGCCTATACGATGAATATGTTGAAAACTCAGGAGTTCCAGGATGTACAAACCAAGCACATCGATGTGCGAGACTTCATTATGCAACACATCTCTGATTTGCCGCATTCGGAGAACATCAGGACTGCTATGGAGCTGGCATACCAATATCCAAACTTGAAAGAATTCAACAAGGCTCCAACACTGAACTTTTATTCAAATTACTTATCCTAACTATTCTCAGTATATTTGTAATAAAAATCTTATATTACGTAGAGTGTTTTATTGAAAAAAAAGTGTGCTATAGAAATCATTAGACAAAATAGAGGTACATTTATCATACAAGTAAATCACTTTTGTTAATCCACGAATTATAGCTGCTATCCAGTCCTAAGTACTTGACTAGCACTTTACTGCCTTTACGTCGAACCACTTTCTCCACAAGATCGATGTTTGGATACTTGACTTTTTGAAGCTCTTCAGCATAAAATCCACCTAGTATCTCGTCACCACGCCAATCTGCCAATAAGTATGATGTAGGATTGGTATACTGTACTTTACGAATTGTAAAAATTTCATTGGACCAATTAGGAGTGTATCCTTTAGCAAATGCTGTTCTATGTTTGCTTATGCGGACATGATCCCCAGTTTGATATTTTACACCCTTTGGATCTACCGTTTTCAAATGTGTATAAACCGTATTCAATAATCTTTTTTCTGTACGTTTTTTACGTCTTTGGGTTTGATTCCAATTGTACTATGTTTGGTGTTATTATACCCGTCAACGACTGACGATAGGATATCTAGCCATTTGTATGATCCCTGAAGGCTGAACTGCTTCCACATGCGATTCTTTAAAGTCCGATTCACCCTTTCAACCACACTTGCTTTGGTCGATGAGTACGTGCTGTAATGATTAATTTTGTACTCTTCCAACAACTTAAATCACTATTGTAGAATTTTTTACCCAAGTCTGTTTGTAAATTTTTTGGAATTGACTGCATGTGCGACAGAATCGCCCTCATTGCAGTTGTAACATCTTTTCCGGTTTTTCGTTTGACTGGTTCTGCCCACACAAATTTACTAAAAACGTTGATGACAATTAAAATATTCGGAATCCTTTGTTCACTTTCTGATACGGAAGCATTTCTACCAAATCTGCCTGCAAGAGATCGTTAACCCCCTTCACAATAACGCGCCGACGTCTATAATTTCGGGGAGCTGGCTTATGAAGATCTTCAACAACCTGCTTTCTAAAGTCGATCATTGTTGTATCAATGGACAGCGCATTACAATATTTGCTATAAGCTGCTCGTGGTCTGGGTTCTTTAGATGTGAAGAAATGGAGAATATCACCTTTCGTGAGAGGTTGTTGTCGGTTAAACCAATTGTCACTCTTACTTTTGGCGAACTTTTATACTATCAACTATCCCAGTCACTGGAACGATATAGTCCTTGCTATTGTCGTTAAATGTGTAAAACTGCTCGCTGGATGTGGAGGAATAAATGGGTACCACACATACGCTGGATAGGTGGATCTTAGAAAAGTACTGAAGATTGCAGCAGTGTCCGTCTTCTTTGAGCGGAGCATATGTCTTCCAAATTTATCAATCGGCATCTTGATCCTACAACTGCAGCAATGTAAATAAAGTAATTTTACGTTACAAACTCATTTTATAATTTTTTATTCACGTAACTCCTCAATTATAGACATAATCTCGTTACGATGTCCATTATTACCAGCATACTGTGAAGCTAACAACAGACGTAAACGAGCAACCAATTCATTTGGATCATCAAAATAGATGTAGTCGATTGGTTTATTTGATAAGTGGAGCATTCCTTGACCTGTATGTTTGAATGAGTGTGTTCATCGTAACTGACTCTTAGGAGGTGGAGGTTTCTCAAAGGAGCCGGATCTGAGTATGCCCTGCTGCTGATGTAAGTATGGTCGAATTATATTTAGATATTTGTAGGACGTACTACCCTGTATTTGAGTATTAGGTTCAAAATTTCTGCGATATGCATTTGTGCGACTTAGAATATCCATATACTGATCTAGATCACTCTGCTTATAACCAATTGGTTCTTTTTTGAAAAGCAGTTCATATAATCCAGGTGTGCCAGGATATGTTACATTTTCCACCACGATATTTGCTCCGTCTAGCGTAACCGGACTTTTACCGAGTTGAAACTTGTCAGAAACAATATCATATGTTAATCCATAATAACGATCAAACTCGGGCTCGTTCCCACGAATTGACTTATCAACATATTTTCGAGGTACTGGGTGAAAACCTTCAAGATACTCTTAATATGCAGGTGTATCAATTAGTTGGTGGAATTCTTGCGCCACTCGAGCCACGCTTTCATTGATTTGCTGGTTTTCTGCCTCCAACACCGTAGCATTTGGAGTAAATTCTTCAACGGTAGATACATCTTGACTGCGATTTGGCTCCGGAAGGTTTGAATATGTATCCTCGAGAAAGCTGTAGTTGACAGGTGGTAAATATCGTTGGTATACATTTTCTGATAATTGTTTATTGAATGATTGTCGTTTCTTCGGTGTGGATGTCACTGATGGGGGTGTAGATTGTTCTTCTTTGATCTGCAATTCTTGTTTAGGTGCTTCAACTTTTGATAAGAGTTTTTGCAGCGGTTCTGAGATCGGCTTAAACTGTTGCTGTAATTCCCTTTCCGTTGCTGCAATATCTGATTTAAGTGTGAGATACTTTTGTTTAACCGCTTTCCTGGTTTTGACTAGTTCTTTGGCCAGTTTTGGATCCATCTGTCTACCTTCGATGTTATATAAGTACTACCCTAAGATTTGCACAGAGTATAGTTATATATATATATATATATATATATATACTGTTACAAATTTATGTTGCTGCTAAAACACTTTCTATACCTGCCTCCCTGTCTTGGAGAATCTTTATCAACCACTACAAAGCTATGTGGCTCTTGCCAACACAAACTGTACAAGCTTTTAAATTCGTTGAATGACATGTCTAGGCTGATATGATCATCATAGATATGTTTCAGATTCAAATTGTCTTGAGGAAATAGTATGAGTAGGTTTATGTTATCCCTTAAATTATGTTTGGGTGCGGCAGTATACGTTTGACAAAGATAGAAACAGTCTGTATTACGATGTCGTCCAAAACTGAAATATTGTCTTATTATATCCTGATTACATGATGAAACGTCGTCAAAAATTATTACGGAGTTTGGTTTAATGTTTTCTGGTGTCGCAATGTTTGCATCTTCACTGTATTCATAATACCATATTTCGCGAAGCGGTGTTAGTAGTTCTTGTAAATATTTGTACTTGGGTTGGTACAGCGACTTGCAGTACAGATAAACGTTCTCAAATCTCAATCCATTAGGATGTGTTAACAAACTGATCATTACATTAGTTTTACCAGATCCGCTTGGAACTACAACTAACGCGCGTTTAGACGTACCATTGAATAGGTTACCATGTTTTCTAAGCGCACCTTCCTGTGCAAGTCCATCAAAATTCGTTACACGAACTTGTACGACTGATGGTTCGATCTTCATTC